CCCTCCTTCCCCCCCCCCACCCAACTCTGTCAACTACCTCCAACACTTCCTCCAAAGAAGATTAATATAAGTTACATAATAGGCTATCTGACTATGGTTGATGTTTTCTGTCATTTATCAGGACTTTAAAATCTTCATGTATGTCTTTCTTTGCCTCAAGCAGAAGTCATATTTTATTCTAAAACATGCTTTATCTTTCTTTCCTAAAGATCCCTGCTACAGTCTGATAGAGTAATCCTCATAGTAATTCAGTTTTGCTAGAAGTCTTGCAAGAAAATCAGAGTTATGAGAAGGGTAACATCTCAAACCCATTGAAATATGTGCTTGTGGACCTTTCACATTAAAAATATGGCATTTCTCTGATTTTTAAAAACATGAACTCCAGGTTTATGGGCTCAAAACAAAATGGCAGCCATGGGAATGTCTGGGGAATTTGAGAAAATCAGACTGATAGATGGCTTTTCTTCCTGTACTATATGGATTCATAGTGCAAACTTTTTCTCTGTTTTTCTTTGGTTCAAGCAAAAGTTTTTATGTCATGATATTTTCGGTACTCCTTAAAGTAAATAGTACAGTCAACTGATGCTGTTCACCAGAAAAGCCTAGCTAGTTGTTTTAAAAGTATGTATTTAGATTACTTCAGACAGTAGAGTAACTCTAGTGAATAACGTAATGTGCTTTAAGCAGGTCCAATTTTAAATAGACCATCCTTTATGTTTTGATATAACCACTTGTTTTTTATTCCCTGAACATATGTTCCCATAAGATTAAAACTATTGTGGAATGAAAGTTTACTCATAAATTTATATGTTATAAAATCTGTAGCTTTCCTTGTGAAAAAATATCTCTTGGTTAGTGGTCAATGTCTTTCATCTTCACAACAGTGGAAACTGATGGAATGAGTGTGGCTTCCAGAAATCCTATAACCACCAATACTGATAACAACAATTCCCCCCAAAGCCACTGCTTTCTCTTGGTATCTGTTGAAGGTACTGAAGTATTATGACCAGGAACGATAAAAATTTTGTGCCTGCTAGAGTATCCATTGGCAAAAAGAAAAAAAAAAGGCCTAAAGACCAGGTTACCAGGGTCTGTATATCTTGAGACCTAAACTGGCTTCTGTGCAGCCTTTGATACTTCCATCCCTAGTTTTCCATCCTATCCCTTGCTATAGGTCCTACATGCCTACTAGAGAAGCCTAGATACCTTTTCTTAGTGGAGTTTGGAATAGTTGTATTTCCTCCATTATTTCATTCACTTTTCATTGTCAAAAACATTTTATCCAGTTTCACTGAAAGAATGATCAAAGAGCTAACTGCAAATTCTATCACACCTGTGGGATGTCTTATTTGATTCTAGTTCAACAATGCTGTACATACATGTGACAAGTCCTCTGTAGCCTATTGGATAGATTGGTGGAAATAGGACTCATTAAAAACCACGTTGCATCAGAATAGCTAAGCAACGGCTATATTTTATAAAACTGACAGCCCAGATTGATGTTTCTTGGTAAGATACCTGGCAACACCAGGAAAATCAGCCCTTGGTTTGGCCCTGGTGACAGGCTAGGTCGGCCCTGGGACCACCCTCCCTGCTCCTCTCTTCCCCCGCACACCCACCACTTTCTTCTTTCCTGGATTCTCCTTCTTGCTCTGATTTTCTAGGCCCTCTCGTGACTGCTTGGTAAATGTTCATAACAGCTCTTTTGGTGTCATTGAAAAATAACAGTTTCAAGTTTGCTTAGCAGCATGGAGGTAGTGGGTCATGTTCTGCTTTCTCTTGAAGTATTACTTCCTTATATTTTAAATTGTAACTCCTCAAGAAAGGGACACTGTCTCATCCATGTTTTACCTCCTGGTCTTTTCAGATTACTATACAATACAGTATATTTATTGTACATCATCAGCTATGTTATATATGTCATATTATGTATGGCATATAATAGATATGCAAACCTATATATGTAATATATTGACCATGAGAAAAATCAGTGTAACAAGGAATAGAGTAATAGCTCTACAGTAAGAAAATTCAAGTTGATAATATTTTTCATACATGTGTTGAGCTCGCTATAAAATTTCTGCCTCATACTGTGCTGAAATCTAATTTAATGCCCAAACCACTGGTTTTAAAGACAAAACCTCAGTCATAATCAGTTGTTGTTTTGTAACCAAACAACTAGTATGACCAAAGCAGGACATCAGGAGGAAGCACACCTGTGAATCCAGTCGACGTCCTGAATCTCTTTTTCTGCTTGGTGACTAGTAGTCATGGGAAATTCGCTCCTTTATCAAAAGGTGGTGGAGGAGAGCATTGCACACATAGGAAGTGTGCATGTGTAGAGACCAGTATGTCTCTGTCCTCGCAGATAGGATATATTATTCTATCTTTCAAAAGATGAGTTCATCAGAGTTGGGAATACCAGCCTCAGAATGTTGGTATTCGAGCTACCAGAGAACTTGGTCTTCTAGTCCAAACTAATGTATGGATGAGGAAATAAAGTCTCGGAGAGGTTAAATCACTAGCCCAAGGTCACACAGCTAGCTCAGCCTGAGCTTCCGGAAACTGAAAGTCATCTTCCGGCTCCAAGCCCAGGGCCTCCTCCACTGCCCCAGGCTGCCCTTTTTCACTGGCTTTATTTGGCAGAAGAGACTGGGAGCCAGGTAGAGCCCAAGGAGAAGTTAATTTGGAAAGTAGGGTAGCAGACACTTGTCATGTGAATGGAACTTAAAGTAGAAGAAAGTGAGTCATGCAGATAGAGGAGTTAAAAATACAGAGTTAAGGCTCTCAACACATCATGTGCACACTGTCATCTCTTCTCATGGAAGGAGAAAAGAAAAGGGAAAAAAGTTGCTTTGCTTTGACCTGCAAGTAGTGTGTGCTGAGAAGTGTGGCAGGCATAAACCTGGGTGCCATAGACACTCGCTCACACCAGCTCTCAGCGCTGGCAGCGTGCCACGGATGGCAGAAGCTCCGGCACTTCTTACCTGATGGTGCCGGGTGGTGGTGACAACTGAGAAGGGCTGTTTCTAGCTTGAATTGGAGGAAAAACAATTTAAAAAACACACTCTTAGAATGTGTCTGAGTTATTGACCATTATGAAAGCTGCACAGGAGGCCCCAGAGAAAGAAAGGGTTTTAATTCTCACTTTATTGCTTGGGAAAGAGTTATAAAACCAAGGATTTCCCCACCACCAACTAACTATTTCATACATTTATATTAAGGGCCAAAGTTAACAGTAAATGTGTGGGTTCTCCCAGCTCGGGGCCTCAGAGGCTGGCCAGCTGTAGGTTGCCCTTTATGTCAGCAGCAGAAAGGGACACGGAGAGGCCTCAGGTACGGAGGGCCCTGCCCGGTGCTGGGCAGAGTGGGAAGTGAGCAGTTCTGTCCTTCCAGAAGCACACACTCTTGGTGTCAGCTTCACGCATGTGAACCCATCATTGGATTTTTCCAAGAACACTGTCAATGTGAGAGTAGGAAAAGTGTACATCAGAAAAATATTGGAGAAAAAGAAAACAAAAACGAGAGAGTCACATTACCAGCTTGCCCACTGATAAAGTTAATTGAAGAATAGATAAAATAAACACCACTTGGGAATGAGTTTATTCTGGACGAGCGAGATGCAACTTGGTTCATCTGATGGACAGGGCGAGGGTTTGTCTGTGAAGAGACAGCACAGGTGTCTGGAGGGCAGTGTGGGGGTGACTACTTCCTCCAGACCAGTGGAGATGTTTGTCCTACTGACCACAACACAGTTCTCACCAAGGATCAGGGCCCAGCCTGTGCACAAAGAATGGGCCACTCGCAGCAGAGCCCAGAAATACCAACGGCGACATCTTGTTTGTGTCATTTGTAGTGGCAGTGCTGACTTAAGATGGGGCATGACTGACATTGTCAGTAATCATCAGAGATGCATTTGCCCAAACGAGGACCATGGTAGTAATCTTGCATGCTTTTGAAACTGTCTGCTTTTGGAACTGTTTTAAAAATGTCTGGTTTGGGGTTTTAATTTCTGTGTTTTGAATTTCCCCCTTTCTGCAGTTCTTGGTTTCTCTCTCACTGAGTACAGAGGATTTTAATTGTTGCTATCTATCTCTGCTTCTCAGCATGAAAGAGCCATGCCTCAGGGCCCTTGCGGAGCTTCAGGGTGGATGGCTTTTGTGTCTGAGCAAGCCGGTCTCACAGTAGCCGTGCTGGATTGCAGTAATAAATTTCTCCTTTTTTCCCCTGTAGCATTGAAAGCCGAAAAGAGAAGAAAGCTGACTCAGGGAAAGGTGTTGACAGGGAGACTTGTCTATGACTTGATCTTCAATTTATTTTTTACAAATATATGAGAAGAGTGCCACAGTTATTAATAAAACTGCTTTGATCATGTATTGTATATTCTGTCTCTCATCCCCAACCCACCTTCACACTGTAAGTAGTGCAATACTTGTTTCATGTCTGTGTTTAAACTTCTGAGCAGTGAGACACCCTTGTGAGCGTATACAATAGCTAATGCAAGAAACTCTGTGTTTCTTGCTGTATGTTAGGCATTTGTAAGCACTGGATTCTCATTGTCAGTTTTCTGAGAGCAATAGCTTTCTTAAAGAGATAAGTCATATTTACCTAGTTTGTATTTTCCTACTGTAGTGACCTGAAGATACCTGGTAATTTCACTGAGAAGAATTTTGAAAAGTAGTCTTACTTCTTATTTTTTTATAGCTTAGCATTAGTGACATGTCAAAAATCCCAAATCAAAAAGTTAGATTGGGAAGCATTTTTTTAAAAATAATTGTATTTATGCATTTCCTTGATTTACTATGATACATTTACTACTTAAGAATTTCTATGTAACTAAAACTTAAAATAATTTGAAAAACTAGATAGCCACCTGTCTACAACTTGTTTAAAAGAATCAGGCACTAATGCAAAAAGTCAAGTAGTAGCTGCTTAAAATTGAAGTTTTGATTACATGATCAAATACTAGGCTTGTACGAAATGCTGTAGAAAAACTTTGTACGTTTTGTGAGATTTAAAAAAAAAGCCCTTTATCAGGAATATGCTGTTAAATTTTTACCCTGTTGACAACAAACATTTTCCAAATAAATCTATTATATGCATACTCATGGAATACTAAATGGTGAGTCACCATATATGAGACTCCACTCCTGTACAGTTACCTTTCTGCTGAAGGGCATGTCTGCTAATGCTGCTTCTGAGTCACGTTCTAATGTTAGACTGACAGGTACCCACTTGTAACTTTTTTTTTTCCTGCAAAGCTCTTTTCCACTTTTTAATTAAATGCATGTTGTAGAAAAAAAATAATATTTTCAATGAAATTTTCAGATTCTGTTTGAGAAGCTTCTGTAGGTATTTCAGTTTGTATGAAATAATCCATCTTTACTAAACTTATACCAGAGGAAGAAATGTGAAGACTTTTTGAGCATTACTAAAAATACAGTATTGCTTTTTATTTTAGATGAATGTGAAGTGAATAAAGACTAAATCTCATAGTGCTCTTGTTTCCTAAGAATGGCCAGTGATCATCAATCTAATAATCTTCAGTGTCCAATTTTATAGTAACACAGAGCCCTATCGCTTTTCCAAACCATTAATTATATATTCTGTGTATAAGTGTACATGAAAAGTGAAAAAAAAAATCCTCCTGTGATTAAACTTATAAGGGAAATAAAATAACAACAAGCCTTCATTAGACTCAACATTTTGATACCTTCTGAACAATTCCCCTCGCAATCTTTTAAGAAGCCAGTTCTTAATGGAACATAAGCCTCAAAAATATAGGGAGACTATGCAGTTAATAAAGTCTGTGTTTATAAATGCCAAGGAAAAAATACAGAAACTTTCCATTCCAAATGTGTTGCCTTTGTATATTTTATAATACAGATACTACATTGTAAACATTGCCATTGTTTTATGATTAAGACTAGCTGTACATGCCAGTCAGTCCCACAAGCAGCCTCCCAGTGTTTTAATATATTAATAACGGTTCTGTTAAATGTGATCATAGTGAACTAAATCTTCACATGATCACCTATTTGAATAAGCATCATATCCAATGAAATTCTGTATTTCTGAGTATTTTTATAGTCATTTTGTTCTTGTGTGACTTTTAATGATATCCCTATGTTAATCCTAATATTTTGAAATCATATAAAGTATAAGAAAAATGTAGTGTTATATATTTCCTCCTAATTTCAAATCCTGGTCAGAATTAGTGAATATCTTGAATGTAATTTATTGCAAAGGTTAAGTAATGTGTAAATGTGACTAGGATATTGTGTTTTTCACAACTAAGAAATGTTATGTGGAAATAAATATTTATCCTAACTAATTTCTTTGCATATTTTAAATTGTGATGCAAGTGTCTTGTCTTTTTTTTTCCTAGTTTTAATCAGCAGTAAATCACTGTAGAACATTTTGATTGTTTGAACGTAATATTTAAATTTAGATACCCCGTATGTAAAGAAAACTTGGTGATGTAGACAACTCAAGAGTATTCATATAATTTGAACTTCATGAACAGGATATTTTGAGAGCTATATTAGAATGTATCTGTTCATTTTCCAAAGAGCAGTGACTTGGGTGCAAAGAGCATTATTCCTATGACCAGTAAAAGCTTCCAAGGTCATAACAGATTTCCCATTACTGGAACTCCTTAGACTTCTGTTTTTACCCCCCATGAGAAAAGCATTTCCTAAAATTTGTCTCCTTTCTCTTTGTTGCAATAGATCAGGTGGGACCATTATTCTTTTGTAGCCATCTGGCAGTCTGTCGGGGAGATAATTGCATTCAGAACTCTACATACGGGTTAATATTTCTCTCTTGACTCGTGAGTTTACTTTGTAATTGCTACCGTTTAACAGGCTTTGATACTGGGAAGTTTTTTCTTAAATATAATCTGAATATCTCCTTGGTGTAGTTTAAATTCATAGATAGAAACTCTCCACTGACAAGTCATAAACAACCTGTATTTCAACATGATCCCTAGATCTTACAGTGTTTTTCTTGGCTCTTAAAAGTGTAGCTTATTTTTTTCTTATCTGTAGTAATCTACTTATCTTTCTGTTTAACTTTAGCCTGTTTGCTCCTGGGCACCTGATAATTTTACTATCATTGCAAGATTGCTCTCCAAATTTTCCAATATACCTCTCTTATTTATTCATGCAATGAGATTACAACCATTTGACAATTTTATGAGCGTAATTGGATAATATGATGATTCTCAAAATATCAACTTTGAAAGGCTACTTGTAATCAGTTCCCTTGAAGAGTCTCTATATTCGGGATTATTACTGTATTTTAGTGATCTCTGGATATTTTCCTTAGAAAGCTGTAGCTAATTGATACAACTGTCATTCCAGTTTCCCTTGGTGTGTTGGCCACTAGCCTTTGTGCTGGAGCTTTGAAAATGGGACTGTGATTCTCGTAGGTGCATAGCTATAACATAATGTGATATGTACTAAGTTAGTGGTATGATTGAAACAGTGAATAATAAATAATGCAAGGATGGAACTTTGAGTAGGGCAGAGTTTGGGGAAAATGTTTTTCAGAAGTGGCATATGAATTGGGATGGAAATGGGGAAGGAAATCTACTCCAAGAACTGCAAAGATTCTCAGACACATATCAGTATTGAAAAAATTAAGTATATGGTATTATTGGAGCCTGATGGATCTAATATATGACATAGTTGGAAGCCAGCATCCAGCCCAATGTGGTGGAGTGTTAGGAGGTTAGTGGAGACCTATAAGAAAAGGTAGAAACATAAGTTGAAAACATTATAAATGATGTTAAATTCGATGTTAGGGGATGTTTGAACTTTACCCATTAAGGATTTTGAATAATGGAGAGACATGAATTTTTTGAAAGATCATCTGGTAGCACAGTCAAGAATATTGTGGGAAACATCACTTCTTTAGGGATCCAACTCCCAGGGTGACTCTCAGAGACTCAAACCAAACTCGCTGTAAGTGGCCTATTAAGTTTTAAATCAAACAGGCTTAAGTACTCCTTGGGTAATTAATAAATCACTCCAGACACAGTAGTTTTATTATAAATCTTTTATGTAGAGCATTCTTTCATATAATATGTTTTGGGTTGTATTTGAAAAACATATTCTGAAGACATGGTATCAACAGTAATCCTGAAACTATTGCAGAACTCTAAGTATAGTACAAAATTTAACCAATGACTGGCTCATCTAGGTCCAGAAACTACCCCCCCCATTCCCCCCGCCCCCACCTATCCTTTCTTTGTATTCATTGCTTCCATTTTTACCATAGACTTATCTTTGTACCTAGGTACTCTTGCCGTCTGCTGTGGCTGTAGTCATAGATTTTTTGCCATGTGACTTATTTCTTCCATTTGTTTATAAGTTCCCTAAAGGTAGGAATAGTGTTTTATCCTTCCTTTGTAACTCTCCAGAGCCTAGTTCTGTGTTCTGCTTTTTATCCACCCAGCAAAGGCTGTGGACAGAATTATGAGTAAAATATATCAGAAGATCCCGCTGCTCAGTTTATTGAGAATGACTAAAGATCCAAAAAGGATTCCCACTGACATGTCAGTACTGGAACAAAAATAAATACTTATTCTTGAAGGTGTGCCCAGCACCTGCGGACACAGAAGCCTCAGGTGAGAACCTGTGCTTTCGATGGAGTCATCACACTAGGAGAAAGAGCAAAATAGTTGTGAACAGGAGTAGGCAGAATGGGAAAGGAGGGTGCCAGGCAGAGCTACAATGCCAGACATAGAAGATACATATATATGTATGTATCTTCATAGCATTGCAAAATTCTGTGAAGTAGGTTCTGAGTTCAAAGAGGCTAAGTAGTGTCAGTGGCAGGCAAGTCTGAGCATCTTAGTGGTATCCTTAGTTCCTGTATGTTTCAGACTTGCCCCCAGGGTTTTTCTCTAATTTATTTGTCAATTTCTTTAACTTCCTTTTCCAATAAGTTAATTTAAAACTCTTATTGGAAAGTAAAACTTCTATAAGAATCTAATGAAATGCACTGTAACTTTCTCACTGTGAGTGGTGGCGCTCAGATTCTAACCCAGGTCCACGTAACCTCAGCTGCAGTACCCGGCGTCTCCAGCAGGAGGCGAGGTGCGGCTGCCTTCCTCATTTAACAGACTACTCATTCCAGCTCATGCAACCAGAATCAGGTACGTTTCCTCGCAGTATGTTCCATTTTCTTTGTCACTCTTAGTTTTGTGATTAACATTGGAAACTAAACCGACCCAATGAAATACTTCTCGTTTTGCTCACGAGTCACAAATATCATGACATTGGAAAGGAGAAAATTAATAGAACAGTTAGTGTTTTGGTTGTTTGATAGGTCAGACTTCTCACTATACATGTGTTTTAAATATCTGACAAATTTGGGGGTGATTGTTCGGATGAAAGATTATGTAGAATAAGACCTTTGATTTTGTTGAAGTTTAAAGTCTGTAACTCCAGAGAAGATACGCGTCTCAGTCCAACAGTAAGGACATTATCTTTCTTTTCATTAATTCAAATTCTTGCGTTTAAATACTAATATTATCACAGAAAGGTGACATGAATAAAAATGATAACTTTCTACTGAGTATGACGTTGGTCTTATTTATACCATACTCTGAGTTTTCCTGTGGGTAGTGATGCTATGCTTTATTCCCACATTCATCTCTCGTTCTCTACCATTTGTAGGTATTCCTCAGAAAGCCTGAATATGCACCCCAGGTCATCCTTTCAGACACTGCTCAAAGAACTTTCACAAAGTTGGCAGAACAAAATTCTCTTACTTCTCTATGAAAAAAGCCATCCTTGTGTTTGGGTATGTTTTTCATTCAGAGATTATTACATCTGAAATATTGTACAAATCTAGTAGTTTTAAAAATTGGAGTTCTCACATCAACTTAGAGTAAAAGCAACAAAGGCAGAGTGGTGGAACTGGTAGCTTCAGTGACCACCTGTGAATAGGAAAGGAAACACTTAGAATGACATACAGCCTGATGTGATCATTCATCTTTGTGGTGGTGGCCTTGATTAATCAAGGATGCACCGATTTATGTCCTGTGCCTGCTATTTAAGAAAGCATGGAGGTATAGCCTCATTTTTAGCAAGGTTTCCAACAACAACAACAAAAAATGTTCAAAAAGTATTTTTGAAGTGATTTCCCAAAAATCTTAATCAAAACTTAAAAAACAAACTCTGTATCCACACAAGAGATGCGGCCATTTCTCCCTTCCTTCGGTGTATGCCCTCCTAGGAACTGGTGCATTTAGCGGGTTGTTTATGAAAGGAATCGGAGCATCCATGTGCCTGCTGAGGCTGCAGCTGTCAATGTCAGGCGTGTCTGAGCATCTTAGTGGTGTCATTAGTTCCTCTGTGTTTCAAACTTGCCCTCAGAGTATTTCTCTATTTGTCTGTTTCTTTAACTTTTCCAATAAGCTAATTTAAAATGCTTATTGGAGAGTAAGACTTCTATGGGGGTCACATGGAATCTACTTTAACTTTAGTCATATCATTACCATTTGCAACCCTAATTATGCAAAAAATATGTGCTAGGATTTTTTGTTACCTCTGAGCACCAGAGAAAACATTTATCATGTTTAGACACTAAAGGAACAATGAATTTATATAGTTTTGATATTGTACAATAGTTGTACAGTATCAGTTATTATACAATGGTCTTAATATCTGTATATTATCTGATGTTGTACAACTATTGCGCAATGGTCTTATTAATCTCTGATATTGCACAATATTTGATATTGTCAGCATCTGGTACTGTCAATGATCTTAATAGCTGTACAATAGCTGAAGTTGTACAGTGTATGGTTTCAGTTAAGATAAAAGGAAATTTTTATTTAATTTGCTGTCATGACTATTAATTTAGTTCAGGATTTGAACATATGCTCTATGACTACTATTTCTGGATATAGAACTCTGCAAAGATTGGTCCAGCTACTCATGATGCTTGAACTCTATTAAGAAATAAAATTATGACAATAGCCCTACAGGTTTGAAGGTCAGTTGATGCTTCCAGTGGATGAGTGGGATTTGAGACTTCATTAAAGTCAATGGCAGGCTCAGAAAAGACAGTTGAACCTGAATTTCACAATCCTGTGTCCATTCCATGACTCACCAGCCTCATATTAAATTAATAGATTTTTTTCCATTTCTTCCATTTTAAGCTGCAGCTCAGTCTGTCTGGGATAACTTTTTCCAGCAAATGGTCTGAAGCTAAGTTTAAGTTCATAAAATCAATTTTTAAAAAATGAAGCCATTTTGCAAATAATGGAGCAAAAAAGAGTCATGTTTCCTCAGTTATCTAGACATTACTTTGCTAGGCTAACGTCAGCATCTGAAATCTATGCTTTCATTAATATAATTCTTTCCACCAGAAATAGTCAAATGCTTAAGTGATTGACTTGAGTCTTTTTTATTCTACTGCACCATCAGAGCTACCAAGATGATATTGTTGCTATTATTTGTTCTTATAATATGCGCCTCATCATAGTTCCCAAATAAAATGATAAATTATGTATTACATAAATAACCCAAATTATTTTAAGTTGATTATATATATATATATTAGAAATTGTATATGTCTTGGATGAAAACCCAATGAACTGCTTAATTTAACACATTTCTACATGTCTATTTTTTATAAAAACTGAACTCTCTCCATGTTTACAAGACAGTCTGGGATAACAAGCAAAATAAACAAGAGCTTTTCTGGATAAATGTGTCCATATGCCAATGTGGTTTAGGTCTGATTCAAGACACAAAACTCATTACCTCTGAAAAAATGAAATTTATTAAGTGACCAGGAGAAATTCTACAGTATGTAGAATGGGAAAAATAATAATACATAACTTTGTGGTTTATTTTCAATTAAAAAGCAAAAAAAAAAAAAAACAAGTCCAAGGAAGTAAAAATATTCTTTTAATTAAGGTGCTCAAAGAAATAAGAAAATTTGATGCAAGTACTCTTTCAAGTTAGGATTTACAAGACAAATATTTTCATCTTTTAACAGGGCAAGCTGATGTGTTCATATCTCAGTTCCAAGCTGCCTCTTTCAGGAGGAAACATCAGTATTTTTTAGAGCACGTTGACAATGCTTTCCCATCACCCTCGCTGTGTTTTTGTAGCACCTATAGCCATAACTGGCACCTGGGGGCTTTGCATTGTTGGCAGTTTCTCTCTCATTGCTTTGGAGTCTGTTCAACTGCTGTGGTTTTACTCAGAAGTCAGAGCTTTGCATATATGATTTCCTGAGACAGTTTGAATAGTCTTTCTCAGAAAACTGTGCCAATCTGGCTGTGAACAGCTCTTCTCTGAGAGGAGCTGACAGCAGCCTGGTCGGGTCAGCGTGCTTGGACTTGGGTTCCCAGCCAGGCCCAGCTAGCTTCTCTCCCTACCCCCTCTTCTTACCCCCGCTTCAGCGCATCACTGCGCACATCTTACCATCCCTTTAAAGAACAGAACAATATTTGGACTAGTCCAGCTAGGAAAAAAATGAAATGATGCCCAGGAAACCTATGCAAAGCTCCCCTAAAAACAATCCATATTTGTTGTTTCAGCAAGTGATGTGGAAATGATTTTAAATAATAAACAAAACCAGACTGAATAATTCAAACTTCTGTATGGTAATAATCTGTTGCAATGACAGAAGTTCCCACTTAGGGTCCTAGACATAAAATTTGGGAACAAAGTAACCTTAAATTTCTTGATTTGAGTATATTTTTTTTATATCATCTTGACAGTGGAGTTTTAAGATCATGAGAACAAAATAGCTTTTAATAAGCTTTAAATGGCAGGCTGTTTTGAGGTGCTAAGGTAAAGAGAAGCATTGTTTTATGAAGTGGCTCATGTGAGTGTATATATGTTGGTGTGCTGAGCTGGTACCGATTCCATGGTCTTCGTCTGTATACCACTGGAGAAAGAAAAAGGTCAGAATTAGGAAGTCAGCTGTGTTGTTTTTTTCAGTCAATGCAAATGAGCTCTCACGAGCATGCAGAATAAAACAGGATGTTTTAATTCCTGAATCAGTGTATAAACTCAAACGTGATCAGAGAGGGTGTGTAATTTCCCCGCAGGGCTTTTCCAGGGCATGTTGTGCTGTCCTCCAGGAGGTGCTGCGACAGAAGACTCACTGTGAATTTGGCTTTACTGAGGAGTGCTTTAAGGATAGATATATTCTAATTAAAATATCCAAATCCATTTTCAAATTTGACTCAAAGGACACTTAGGGCCATATCATGCACAGGAGCGAATGTTTATCCTGTTAAGCCCACTAGTTCTAATTAAGTGTTATCAAGTGTTAAATTTCTCCTACACTATCTTAAGGTAAACTGTGTTAAAAAAATGTTTTTAAAAGGCAATTTTTCCTAATATATATCACTAAGGAACTGGAAAAATTTGTTTCAGTATTCCATTTATGTTTAACATAAGTGAAGTCAAAGTCAAATGTGGTATTTACAAACACTTAGATTTTTCACTGGAGTTTTTTTTTTAATCTGTATGTATGTATTTATGTAGGAAGAGCTGATGACCTGAGGCAAAAATTAATCAACTCATACCACATTAAGCAAGTGGGAAGTCATTGCCAGGCAAACATGTATTATGGTGACATAAATTAATTTTTAAAAATTGTTTAATTAAAGTAGCACGCCTGTCTTTGAATAGTGAAAAAATAAACCTGAACCTCTTAAAAGAATCTGACATGAAGGATATTTACCAGGTTTTCTGGGTGTCAAGTGACTGTCCCACTTCTGTACAGTGGGCAGTGTTTGAACTGAGCACAGATAA